AAAACTATAGTCTGACAAGCAAGCATCTTTAACATACTATATTTATATCCTATTTTTCTTTGTCACTTTTTTCCTGGTCTAGACAATTCTTACTTATTATAAAATCAAGTTAAAAAAGTGAAAAAGAAAAATAGGATATAAATATAGTATGTTAAAGATGCTTGCTTGTCAGACTATAGTTTTTTATTATCGTCTGTATATATCATATAAAAATAAAAAAGGGAAGAATCCCTATGTTAAAGTTTTCCGTTCATATTGTTTTGTTTATGTAATTTTAATTAATTTAATTAATGTTTGTATCCACTGAGGAAGATTGAACTATCAATCGAAACGTTTGGAATAAATAAAGTTAGTACGAAGAAAAGTATTTATTTAAAATATAAAAGATAATAATTATGCCGTGATGAAAATTTCAAACTTTTAAAGCTCACATCTCATGTCGTCAAAACCAAAAGATTTTTGCGTGAATCAAGTGAGTACCGCAACAAGAATGCAAAAACATAAGTGGCCTAACCAAGGAGGAAAAAGCAGCACCTAGTACGGGGTGCTGAAAGGTGCTGTAAAGTACTGCCTTGCAAAACATAAGGTAGTGGGATCAAATTACACATTGCACGAATCCTTTTGTGTACGAATAAACTTAGAGAAGGAAGTTTGGCTGCATTTGCATCATACTGCTAAGAAGACAACAATACTTTATTTTTGATTCAACTGAAAGCAGAATAATAAAAAAAAAGTTCGTAGTTGGATTCGATCCCTAAATCGGTAGTTTTGGGTACCAGGAGGTGCTGAGATGCTATACGGCTTAAGCGCGCGTGACGGAATTACATTTTTTTCAACTTTTGGGCTCTGTTTCTCCTCAAATACTGCACAAAAGATGACGAAATTTTTATCAGAGATGTGCGGTAGAATGTTTGGTTTGTGGTAAAAATTTCGAATGCGTCGGTTAAGTAGAACGATTTTTATGAGCAAAATAGGCGTCGTGACGGAATTACATTTTTTAGTCTATTTTTCTAGTGCTCCACAAACTTTGAAAAACGCTCTAAAACGAAACATATTCAGAAAAAAGTCTATCAAAAATATCAAAGTTGTAGAGCATGAAAAGAGCTTTCGAATCATCTCTTTACTTTCACTTAAAAATGCTTAAATGAAAAGAAACAAGCGAAATGGCTCCGTGACGGAATTACACCATTTTTTTGCTTTCTTTTCCGGTGGGTTTTATCGTTATATTTCTACCGGTAAAAAAAGACTTCTATAAACTTGATCTGCACGGAACCTTATGCAATCGAGTACCCTCTATCAAACTAAGCAAAAAAGAACGGTGGGAGAAATGTTTTTGATTTTCGTAGAATTGCTCCAAAAAAAGTACCATTTCGAATTCGGCAAAAACCAGCAAAACCTTGTTTAGTATGCAAAATGCGTTTTTTACGATTGTTTCGACAAAGTCAATAGTGCATTTTGTAGAAAATTTAATTCTTTATCCACTCATATACTTTCTGAAACTTTTTAAAAACTAAATAGGTCAGAAAATTGAAATAAAAAACTTCTAAATTTTAAATTTGAATTTTCGATTTAAAAATTTGAGTTTCGTTCGTTTTAGTTGATAGCTGATATTCGTAATCAGCGCAAAAAACTGCGTCTAACGATGTGCTTTTAAGGCTGGTTTGAGAGAAAAAATATCGCTCAACCCATCGCAGCTGAGGATGACAGTTACGCGTTTTAGCCGTATACTAAAAACAGTGCTTTTCCCACCCTCGGAGTAACGCTTCTTATGTTTTTGCATTTCTATTGCGTGATCACGCAAAACTAAATTTTGCTATGGCAATCTGGAATGTTTTCTGAAAGTTGTTCTAGTGCAAAAAAAGGATGTAGCAGTGGTTTGGTAGTCGAAGATCAATTAATGATAAAAGAAAAACGAGAATATCAAAATAGAGACGATCGGTTAATGCAGTTAATTGGACTTGATAAAGAAACATTTATTCCAGTAGTACATGAAACATCATTAGGATTAATGTTAAAATATCAACGAGATAATTTTGGTGTAACAATGCCTATATTAGGACAATTTATTCAAAAATATATGGAACATAGACCAAGACCATCATTGGAACAAATTCGTATCCATGGAGGAAAAGTACGCATTGTCAAAGCGAAACTACTCATAATGCGCGTTCAGGACCATTATAAGATTAAGTTTCATCCGAAATCAACCAACCGATTTGGGGAGTATTTTATTAGCAGATAAAAAATGTCAGAGGAATTTTTAGAAGTGAGAGTCCGAGATTTTTGAGTCTGTTCAGAAAAATATTCATGTCATCTTTTAGCATTAGTAAGAGTGTATGTTATCGTCTTCTGTTTTAGGCCATCGTCTATTCTCTACTGCCTGTGCATTCTGTAGATCCAACATCTACTGATATAGTGCATGATTTATATTCATTATTAGATGAACTTTATATATCAGCACCAGAGTATTTTGATCAAATAAAACAAAATTTAATGATATCGCTAAATGAAAAGGATAGAAATCAGAAAAATTCATCAGTAATGAAACCAGTGTTTACGAGAAAAACAAAAGATATAATGATGTGTGCGCCAAGTGAGCTTAGTTCAAGATAAAAATAAGTTTTGAAACACAGTCGCGGTCAAAAGTCTCGTCCCACTTTTTTATTTTGCTTATTGTATGAAAAGTACAGAACATTAATTTAATATTATTATATGTGTATATAGCTGATGAGTAGTACAGTACCTAGATATACGATGCATGTATGCAGTGTTTTAATACATTATACAAAATAAATACGAAGAAAGAGAGCTATCTTTTTATTTCAAAACATTTTGCACACGAATGTGATCTATGATATTTTACTGATTTTTTAACCCGTCAAGGACGTTCAGAGGCATGACAACTATACCAGCGGAAAGCGGAGAAGATAACGAACATTTTTGTAAAAAAGCTTTTCGAAAGAAGGCTTTCTCAGGGTCGACAGACCAGTTTTAAGGTAAAGTTGACATGGTCAACATGTAAACTCTGTACCTCGGTAATGAATGGATGAAATTTCTTTTTAGACATATCAATAGAATGAACATCAGAAATTGCGTAAGAAAACGGTTGATTTAAAATTTTACGAAAGAAGTAGACACATTTTTTTTTCTTCTGTTGGTTATGCATCTCATTCAAAGCATCTTCATTTTTGCAGGTTTTTTACTTTTTATTATTTTCTTTATGACTTATTTAAATTCATTAGAACCTCCATTAAACGAGCTTTAAAAGAACGGATCGGTTTTTTCTTTTATTTTGCTTTATCACTAAGAGAATACATTTTTTCTAAATCAGCAGCGAAAAGATTAGAATTCTGTCTGTAATTCTCTATTTTCTCAACTGGCATTCACCTTTTATGCAATAAAAATATCATATTCGGCGTCAGCATCGAAAACTGAGTCGAATGATATATGTTTCGAAATCTTTTCTTCTTGATTTTCCTTTTTTGGTGAAAATCTCAGTAACTCAGGAAAAAAAAAAGTAATCGGTTAGGATAAAAAAGTACAAGCATGGCAATAGTTCTCCTTTACTCTTTTACTTTAGTAATCATAGATGATCACAAAGTAATACATCATTTCTGTACTTAACCTTTTTCTGCATAACGACGGTTCTAAAACTACTTAGATACGAAAAATAGAGAGTTCTCTGCTCTACAACATCTACTAGTAGAATGTTGCATACTCACACCACATTCTTTGATCGTATCCTTTGGTTACTATGTCCGATAGACTAATAGTGCAGTTTTGATTACCAGCATATTCATCAGCCAATCTAATGTCCTTCGAAAAAGTAACATTTCAACAGTTTCGATAATACATGTTTCTCTACAGCCTCTAGGCAGTACTAGGACGTATTGGATCTTGCACACAAAAGAAAAAACAAAATAAATCGTTCAACAGGGTGTGAGATTACATTACACTACTTTACATATATATACAGATGAAATCACAGAATCGTTTTACTAATTACGAAATAGTCGATGCTGTCGCTTAAAAATAATAGAACATTTAAAAAATAACGTAATTTTCTACCTATAATGAGTCTAAAAAGTGTCTATATGGTTTCTTTATTATGGACAAACGATTTAATCATGATTTTCACGGATCTCAGTACAATTTGAAAATATTACGTTTTTTTGTTAAATATACATCGAAAATGAGAAAGTTTGCAATATGATGAAATTTTTTAAAATTATTCCCAGTTTTGTTGAACCTGTGGAAAAGACAAAGCGAATCAACTGATATTACAATTTCTATTTAAAAAAATGATATGTTTTAAATCATTTTGCTATGAAAAAAATCATTTCCTAGACATGTAGCTTACATTGGTCTTGTCAATGTCTTCCATTTAGAAAGATCTAACACTTTTGTTGTAGAAGTACCTTGAATACTTCTGTAATATAGTTCGATAATGGTCTACTTATCCAAATGACATTTCTGTTAGAAATTTTGTGTAGTCATTCATGCATTATAATACATGTTGTATTAGTAGCATTCAGTAATACTTGTCAAGTTCATAGAATTCGTGCGGTGGAATGATTTTCTGTTCTGGAGATAGTGATTGTCGTTTTATTTGGTCTTGCTGTTCAATATAATCGATGCTCGGCAACAAGTGTTTTTTGCGTGGTTGTCCTCCAGCTGAACGATACCAAGAGGGTTGTTGTTGTTGCTGTGGTAATTGTATTGTTGATATCTTAGTTTTAACAACCGAGTTTGACCGTAGATTCTGTGACTGTATTGGATTATCAAGAACTTCAACGATCATTGGACGTGGTCCTTGAGATTGTGCCGGGTTTGAATAAACATGACGAGGTTGAATGTGTTGTTGAGATTGTGTTTGCCACGTTTGATTTGGATTACTCACAGTTACTACCGGGTCATTACTGCCAGGTTTATTGTTTACTTCAATTAATAGTTTGATCGGACTTCCTGGCTGATTCTCATTTAGAGATGGAGAAGACGACGAATATTCGTCGCTTGAATGACGACGACGACGATGAGATCTGTGTGAATTATGACCATTATTTTGAGGGTACGCATTCTTATGATTATGTATAGGACCATACCGTGGATTATTTTGGTCAATGTCTGATTCACTGGTGTACCCATCATAATATTGAACACTATCGATACCGTCATCGTTGATAGCATTGTTTTTATTATAAAATATGATCATACACATTGTGATTATGAAAACTGTTACTACAACGGTACCACACAAAACAATACCAAAAATTTTCCATACAGTGTCGGTGCTACTATCTAGAAAGAAAACAAGAGTTTCATCTTAAAATTCTAATTGTTAAACAATTAACGTTTTATGTTAATAACAAATATTATTAATAGAAAAACTTGTCTGTTATTTGATAATCGTACCTTCGATGTATAATAGTGTACATGTAAATATTCCTCCAATTGCGATTAGACATATTATGCCTAGTGTGCTGAAGAATAATATCGAACACAGACGAGTTAAACCTAAACATCCTGGTCTATCACACCAACCATCCTAAAATAGATAGAAGGGCAAATTATTCATAATACGTAAAATTACGAACTGTTAGTTTGTTGCATGATTGTATTTAATGGGGTCTTGCCGTTGAATGGTATCGCTACTATACTGTTGTTCGCTGAAAATTTTTTTACGAAAGCTGGCTTCACTCAAGACTACAGAATATATGGATAGTTTAATTGATATATTTACAGGTTTTTCATCGTCATCACTAATTGGACTCATGTGACGATTAGGATAATGTCTGACACTACTGGGTCGTCGACGTTTGTTTCGATAATCATATGGAGGTGATTGAGTTCGATCTGAAATAAAAATAACATAATGATCATGAAACTTTTTATACAAATTTACAATCTATTTACAATTTGATGGATATCGGATCTGCGGCTGCACAGCAGAATTTTTTTGACTTGACATCCGTCTAGGATAGTTATTTGCTTTGCTATTACGCGACATTTGACGACTGGATAGTTGTCGTCGTTTACTATGAGCAGCAGACATTTGACGATTGGGATAATTATAACTAGACATTTTTCGTTTCTATTCGTCAACCATCTACAAAAAAAAGCAAATAAAATGTGTATACAATATGTCGTGAATTCCTACAATTCTAAGTCTAATGCACAATGAGAATTTGCCAGATAACAAACATATACATGAATAAGACAAATATTTAATTGTTATATTTTTTTGCTAGTATAATGAGTTTGATATATATACAACACTATGTTACAGTAGAAAATCAAATTTAATCACTACTATACAATGATGAATAATACAATATTTAAATATAAAGGATGTTCCACAAGTTCTGAAACGATTTCTAGAAAGATAAATTTACAAATCGTTCCAGAAAAAAAGAATTCTTACTATACCAAACGATAGAGAATTTAATTCTCTACAAGATTGTACATTCATTTTTAAGATTCGTCTTTGATGTTTGACACAGTAAGTTTAACAGGAAACGTTCCAAATTTTTTAACTGCACCACGCACTTTTAAAGTGCAAACTGCACTCTTTTTTTAATTGCGTATAATGAGTACAAAAAGATTTGAGATAATTTTATTACAGTCAAATGGTGAAGAATTTTAGGCTTTACAAAGCGTTTACTTGAAGGAAAGTTATTTCAATTGCTAGTGGCTTTACTACATAAACTTCCAAGTCCACCGAAGTTTCTAGCACTAAAAAAACATTTTGACTATTCCAGTGTAAAATCCAAAGTTCAAATCATCAGTTTATAGACCAAAAAATACAGAATAACGCGTTCTTTTGATATAGTAAGGAATTTTTTTTCTGGAACGATTTATAAATTCATCGTTCTAGAAATCATTTTAAAACTTGTGGGACACCCTTTATAGCGTAAGTGAAAATTAAAATTTGGTCAGAATAACACACTCTTTCTTCATCATCGCAAGTCCCATATGAAAATAATCGACGATAGTTAACCTAAAGATCAACTAGACACGTCAACTCAAGTTTAGCCATAATAACGCAGATTTTTGTCCTATTTTCATTTTATCCGACAAAAATATTATATTCATACATTACGAGCAAAACTGTCTCGAATGGCGTGCTTGACAACAACTATTGTGGACGCATAGTTAGATTCAGGTTCCACGGAGGTTTTAACTTGAAGAGGGATCGTGTTAGTGCATATATACACAAGCCTTTATTATTATTTCTTCTAGTAACTGATTTAGAACTGAAAAATCTGACCGGGATCACCTCTGAAATTACGGAAATTTTCTTTTTCAGAAAATTCAGTTCTGATTTCGTCACTAGATTCAGAGGTGAACTATCTGATTAGAACTTTCATCTCTGAATCCGAGTATAGATTTTAATAAGATGTGATCTAGCCGTGATAAAACTGCATAGCTGGTGATTCAGTTTTTTTAAACAGAGCTGATCATCGACTATTTTGCTGATAGTGAAAAATATTGGTCTTTATAAACATTCACTTGGAATTGGTACATTCCTAGTTGAGGTGTGTCGTAGAAATATCGAATGTAAAATACGCAGACTGTAAGCCTCTGTAGTTTATTGTTGTTTTTCTAACATTGTTATAAATTTCATTTCTTATTGTTTTCCGTTAAAAAAGTTGTCTATTGTCATATTTATTACGTTAATTATGTTAAAAAAAGTATTATACCAAAAATCATAAGGTATGTGAAATTTTCTAAAGAGCTTCTCGACATTTTTCCACTTTGACATTTTTTTATTTCGATATTTTTTCACTTCGATATTATTCCGCTTCGATATATCTCCATCGACATTTCTACTTTCGACATTTTCGACATTTTTACCTTCGACATTTTTCCTTTCGACATTACTGCGGCCAACCCTAGTTGATATTCATTGTTTTTCATTTCTAAGAACTTATTTTCATTTCATTTACCCGTGCTCTGAGCATGGAAGATTTAGGCAAAAAGCAAAAAAATGTCCGAAAGACCGACTTTAAGACTACACATACAGCTCAGTTCAAAACTAAGTTTCACAACTCAAAAACAGTATGAAAAGAGGAATAAACATGACACATTATTTAAGTCGAGCTTAGTATGTCAAAATGAACGCTTTTCAAAATAAATACTGTTTGTAGTCAAATATGTGTCGATATGTTTTTAATATCTGCAAAAACTTTTCTTTGTTTTTCGCTGTTGTCTTATTCCGACAAAATTTTCATTTCCATTGTAACCTATATAATTTATTATTTAACTAATTCTCATTGTAATGTTCATATCCGTATTTGAGTTTTATACTAGACAAATTTTGTTAAACTAGAACTAGGGAGCTTACTTTTCATTAGTTTTGTGTATTCATTGTGTTAGTACTCGTTGTGTTTCTGTTTTCTATTCTATGAAAGAGTTTAGAAAAAATTATAAGGTATTCTTTTGTTTGATTGCTTTTGAAATTTTCTTTTTAATAAAAATATGAAACCCTTATGAAATTTCAACAAAGATGCTCATTTTTCAATTAAAATTGAAAGAAAGACAGAATTTGAAATATCTGGTATTTTGCCATATGTTATGTTGCATAATCTGACTTTAACTCATTATTCTAAAATGTCATATTAGAAAAAGTACCATACCGTTTTTACGCTTATCTATATATAAAAATCCACGTGGGATAGTCCAAGGAGTAAGTTACTGTTTAGACATCGAATTACACGTCACAACTGTTGCATGTTTTGTTTTGAACATCCGCTGTTTACAAAATGTTTAAAATATGTTATATAATTATTGTTAAAAAATAGAATTAAAAGTGAATAAAGTTTTATAACATTTTAGAATTTATTTGAACAGTCTATTAATAGAGCTTAAAGATTATATATTTGTTGTTGTGCGTGGTAGAACTGTGGGATTTAAGATAAAAATCCAAAACAACAGTACCTTTTGTGAGTACAATAGCTTGCTAGAAATTATACATAAATAATTGTTTAGCATGACAAATTACCCATAAATACGTTTTTTTTACTTTTTTTAAATACAGCTGGAGGATAGGACTCTGTAGTCATTTCTGGATAACTCTCGAAGAAAGTCAAAATCTGGAGGCTTTTATAGGACTAGCTGAGTGTAGAGATGTGCAACCCAATCGACTCACAATTCAAAGGATAAGTACGGATACAGATATGAAGTTGTCGAGAATGTATATAAACAATTATCACTTCTGGCATTATTATTATTAACAACTTCAGCCAGTTCAACTATATCTGAACATATATCTAGTAAAATGGAAAAAATATTAGAATCAGTCAGATAATTACTAAGACCAGATTCTCTTGATTTTTACATAATTTCAACAGAAACTAATATTGCTTATTGTTCTTTCTTTCTTTTATGTAAATAATGTGACACATGTCTATTGCATTTTTATACCTTCAGATTCTCCGCCACAAGTAAAAATGTAGCTTTAAGCGTAGGGGTATGATAATCATACCTGAACACCTTCAGTGAAGTTTTGGATAAAAATATTTCAGAAAGTATTCATATAGTTTCAGGGAGAAAGTTCTTAAAGTTGCAAAATAGGTTTGATTGCCAAGCTCCCGTGAAGAAACAAAAAAAAGACTATGTTTTTCATTGCATACATACCCATTTCATCGAAACTTTGTGCGTTCGAGCTCAAATTTTCAACAGATACTAGATGCCAATATAGCAAATTACTTGGAGGAGCAGTAATAATAATAGAGTATAGGAAGTATAGATCTGCTGAAAAATACATGAGCATTTTATAACAAAAATTCAATATTTATTAAAATGTTAAAGACGAACTTTCGAAAACATCTATGCTCATTTTTATAGATTCCTTTTTGCAGGAGCAGGAAAATGCTCTTTAATGTTAATAATCGACGAAAGGCAAAGTTAATTTTACCGTTTGGAATAAGTTTCCGGCAGAAATGGATGAGTCACTTTCTCGAGTCATTTAAAGAATCATCTAGAATTTCTTACCGCTAGAAAGTTTCGAGCTACGTAGTGTTCTATTCAGATTTGTTTGGGCTACAAAATGCTATATCGCAGTGAATTTTACCGTCTTCACAGACTTGGTCTAGCTCCTGAAAAGCAACTGAGTCGAAAAAATTACTCAAATTTTCGAAAAGATCGCGTATTGTACAAAATGATTAGTTTTGATGTCGAATCACTTTGCTCAAATGTACTTGCAAATGAAGCGATTAAAATTGCATTAGACAATTCATATAAAATAGTATCGGTGCCAGACACTCCTTTCAAACGTGATCAGATGAAAAAATTCTTGGAAATAGCAGTATGTAATGGTCCATTACGTTCTATAACCAAGAATTATGTTCAAGTCGACGATGTAGTGATGTGTAATCAACTAAACTAAAACAAAAACTGAACTGCTTTTCGGCAAATAAACTGATTATCTGGCGTCGATACGTTGATGGTATTTTTTGTATATTCAGAATTGAGGACAAAAAGATTCTTGCATTCTTCGGTCGAATAAACGCCTGGCACTCAAACATTAAATTCATTGTCGAATTTGAAGATTCAAAACAATCTCTCCCGTTTCTCGACGTTCTTGTAGTACGCACAAGCACGAAATACCATAGCAGTCTTTATTAAAAACTGACAATCATGAATCTCTATATGTTGTTTGAAAGTAATCAGTCTCGAAATACAAATTAGGTCTTGTTAAAACATTGATTATTCGTATTAAACGAATTTGTTCTCGACAAAACTGAACGACTAAATCGAACACTGGAATCAAATGGCTATCCTGAACACACCATCAGATGAGGAACTAGAGAAGGAACAAACATTTACAAGTGTATTCAAAATCCGAAACCACAAACTCCACAACCTCTACCAAAAGATGTATTTTTCACTGTCTCGTACTATGGCCAAGCGACGCTAATCGTCACTGAGCGAGTCAGAAAAAAAAACATCAAAATTAACTTTGCTTTTCGTCGACCATTAAAATTAAAGAGCATTTTCCTGCTCCTACAAAAAGGAATCGATGAAACAAGAAAACTAAAAGGACTTATCCATCGAATACCTTGATACAAAGAATACCTTGATGCAATGAACAACCTAGTTTTCCAGAAAAATGTATCTAAAGTGAATTTTAAAGTCTGAGAAAAAAGTTTACTTCTTTAATTTTTTTACGAAGATGCTCTAATAAAAATTCCAGCTCTCTTCGATCAGTCATTAAGATTCTGTAACAAGACTAGAAATGAAAAGTATTCTTAACATCTATAGATGGATATAAAGAGTTAAACCATAAAAAATACGAGAAAAGTCACAAGTCGAAAATAATGACCACGATGATCAAGATTAGGCGCACTAAATTCGTGTTCGAATTAGAATGTCGATTATATCGAGTTTCTCCGCAGCTTAAATGGAATGAGTGAAAAAAAAGATGATTTTGTTCGATGGAATGTTTATATATGCATTTAGATTAGTAGTGATTGACAATTACTTATTACGCAAAGATTAATATGCCATATCAACCATCAAGATGATGTTTATATCCTTTATTTCGGGGGTATGGAGTTTGGAAGAAGTTGTTTAAAAGTAAAATAAGTAAAAAATGCTGAGTATCTACTATTCTTTTTTCATATCTTTTACCCTTTTATTGAATCTTCTTTTTTAATTTTCTTACACTGTAAAAAGAAATGCGACTTAGGATCAAATTAAGTCACATTAATGTGTCTTATTTTCACAGAATAAGGCCCATTAATGCGACTTAATTTGATCCTAAGTTGCATTTTTTTTTAGAGTATAACCTTTAATTTCTTTATCTTTCAACACCTTGAACATATTTTTCTTCTATACTCTTCCAAGTTCTTCCACTTTAAGACCTATATAATCTTCTATCCTCTATAAGTTTTTATTACTGCTATGACTTATACAACTAATGATTCACTGAACTTTCATCGTGACTCACTCTCATGCTACCAGCCTGATCCGTACACTGGAATACACCAAGCTCAGCAAGTCTATATATGCTTGTATAAAACTCGTAGGATTTTGAAAATACATCGGGTAGTAATATTCTGATACTCCTCAAAATTTCCGACTATATTTGACATACTTATGTAAGTCTGAACGCACTAAGAAAAATCTTCAATAAACCCACTTTTCGATGAAAGTTCTCAGTACCATAACTAATAACATTGTAGACAGTAATATATTAGATAGAAAAGTTGTTTTAGTCACAAAAATCACTTGAAGGATAGAAAAGACATAAAAGTTAAAAAGTCAGGAATGACATGAAATACAAAGCCATACAAGCTTCAAGTATAGTCACAAAGCTAAAACATACATATATTCTATTAATCATATAAGTTATAATAAGCATTTTTTCTTAATGTCAAATCCTTGCCGATTTATCCTTTTTCTGAAAGTTCGAATTTAACATCAGTTTATACGTAATTCATGAAAGTGAAGAAGGCAATCTATTTTGGAAAAAGACAAGTTTCTCATAAAAATTTTGTCTCAATCGAATGGTTTAGTATCAAAGTAACGGCATTATCGACTCACCGACCAATTCCCTGCTAATTTTGGAAACGAAAAGATTCATGAACTTGACAGATACATGGATTCAAGAACAATCATAAAGCTTTTTTAGTATTTAATTTAAAATTAAAATTTCGGACTATAACATGCGACGTTATACAGTTCTGTAGAATGCATGAATCAAAGAGTTTGCGAACAACATCGTTACTCTAGAGAGCTTTTACGTATCTATAATCACGTCCTACCATCGCTAACAAGACTAAAGTGTTACCATGATAACAATATACATAAAAATTATCAACCAACGTCTCATTATTAAAATGCAGAAGAGAACGAAAGAAAATTGCACGTAAGCCCCGATAGATTTCAGAGGAGTAGTCTTCAATCGATGTTCTCAAAATTTTTTCAAACTATGAGGCTCTTTTAGACCAAACGTTTTCATGAATTTTGGCAAAAGGTGCAAGTCAAAAACTTGAATCGTTACCGAGATACTGAATTTTTACGGAAAGTCCCGAAAAACGTCGATTCCGCCATCTTGAAAATTTGCCAACTTTAAACTCTTGTAATTCAGTAACGACAGATTACTTAACTTCGAAGATTATACCATAAGTAGTAGATAGTCAAAACCACGCAACCGCAAGCTCAAAACATGCTTTCGTTCTTTTGTAATAGATAGCGCACTAAGGGTCCAAATCCAGAAAACCTTGAATTTTCCTATAGCACCCATTTGAAACGAAGTCGACCGTGAGACTTTCAACCATATTTTCAAATAGATTATGTGCCAAAGCATATTTGGTAAAAGTTTGACGGTCTCAGGTGCTTTCGTTTTCAATACAGACGATTTGAAAGTTGCAATTTTGTCCAAAAATGAGCACTTTGAGGAATGATTTTCTCCATGGAAACGCGTCCATTCTACAGCACACTATTGGAGTACACCAGGTGTACTATCATAGTCCATTCTGAGATTTGCGAGTTTTGCTAAAATGGCTTCTAGGGCTCGGTTGGGGGGACTGAGTTCTAGTGGCTTGTTCCAATCAGTGTATTTCTGCTATAGTATATTAAAATACAGTTCAATATGCAACTTTTCACAAGGAATTCAATGGTAATACAACAACAAATTGATTATACTATTAACCCTATGTTAGAGTTCCATTCTGAATCTCAAGAATCTATAAAATTATTTAAACATTAGTGAAGAACGAGTGCATAGCTGGTCCATTAGTCTTAACAGTGTCCAATGAGTAACTCGGTGTGCTCTACAATTTGACAGATATTTGACAGTATGCGCCCAGTTAAAACCTCACTGTAGTTTTCTACAAATGACAATGACTTTTTGTAGACTCACTATAGTGAGTACTAAACACAATGGTTAAACCTTGAAAAATAAAGAAATAAACAAAATCGTCAAAAATTAAAAAGTAAAGTTAAAACTCGAATAAAATAAAATTCGAATATAGAGTGCTTGAATAAATTAGGTATCATTTGTAACTCTTTTAGATTACGTAATTTAACATTTTTCACGTTGACATCATCGACATCTGATGCTATCAAATATAAAACTATCTAAATTGTTTCGAACAATACGATAAAAAGTAACAGAATGATATTTAAAAGAGACTACAATTAATAAAAAAATCCATAAAGAATCAAAAGAGTATGTCATAAATGCTTAGAAGTCAAGTTAAATCTAACATGCGATGTTGGCTCTTCTATTTCTGAATAATGATTGTTCCCATAATTTTCCATTATTAATATCATCATAGATTTCATTAACTGTTTTCGCTTTTGTTTCAGGAACGAAAAAAAATGTAAATAAAATAAAAAATACTAACAAACCAGAAAATAATAAAAATGTATACTCGTGTAAAATATACTAGAATAAATAAACAGACAATTTTAAAATATACTTATTTGTGTTTTTTTCTATAACTTACTTCAAAAAGTGGTTTGAATCCAATACCGACTGCAAAATTTGCACTCCAATTAGCCAATACGGCCACACTACTCGCGGCAGCACGTGGAGCTTGTGAAAATAATTCGGCTGTAATTAACCATGGAATTGATCCTAAAAACAAAAAAATAAATAAACATAACCATTTCTCAAATATTATGGCCTCTTCTAACATTTCTATACCTGGTCCGATACTAAAGAAGACAACAAAAATGATTGAACTAATCAGACTAACGTACGACCAACCCGTTGATTTCTATATAAATAAAATTCAAAACAAAAATGAGTAAAAAAATGATGAAAAATAGAAATTAAATTTGTTTACCATCAACAATGATATAACAAGTATGACACTTGAAATGAATATTCCAGTTAATCCTAACAAATGTAATGGTCGTCTTCCAAGTCTATCAATTAAAAATATACTAACAACTGTGACAATAATATTTGTTCCACCCAAGGCTAATGTTGCATAATCGGCCACATGTGTACTAAAATTGGCTTTAAGAAATATCGATTTTGAATAATAAAATATCTTAAAGAAAAATATTTATTTTTTATACTAATAGAAAAAGATGAACGCTATTCTTTTGTTTACATACAGCATTGATGCCCGATAATTGTTGAGATAATTGTAATATAACAGTGATTAATAATGCATAGGCTAACGGTTTTTGTCGAAATAAATCGATAATTTTCACCTAGAGGACGACAAAAAAGGTACCATATCTAATTTTTTATATGATATTTGAAATACTGACACGTTCCGTTTGTTGTTCAGATTGCATTTCATTAATTTCACTTTCATTATTATTATTTTGACGTAACCACTTGAGAGCTAAAAATTGAAAAAAGGAATTGAAACAAACTAGTTCGTTTTCATATCGCAAAAAAAATATAAGATAAACTATAGATGAGCATTTTATACGCACGAAACGGCTAAGTTGAATTATAAATACTTGTCATCATTATAACAGTCTTTTTTGGCTCTTTTTACTTAATTCAATAAAACAATCATGACGATCAGTGTGATGTCTTTTGCATTCATCTATAAAGGGCTTCCATGTAAAAATGACCTGTTTTGACACAAACATATATCAGAAAGAACGGTATGGTTGAAAAAACGATTTCTGCTTGCAGATTCTACTAGATTTACGTCGACCAAAAGCCGCCAAATTCTCATTGTGTTAGTTTTGTACTACACATTGTTTTTTCGAAGAAAACTATGTCGCTTTTGCAGAACAGTAGACATAAAACATGATTTTTATCAATAAATGGGACTAGGAAACGTTAACTGTAAATCCTACAAAACTTTTTAAAAAAGTCATTCGATAGAGTGAAGAAAATTATTCGAAAATAAGATGAGCAATCAATAAGCAAATTATGAAAAATAATAAAGTGGAAAAGTTTGCTTATTTTTGAAAACTTTCATTCATTTTTTGCTTATTTTCAGAATTTCAGTATTTCGAAACTTTTTGCCTGAAACTAAACTGACTATTAAAGTTTTTAGATCGACTTTTTTAAGGTAACTCGACAAGCTCTATCCAGCCATAACAAATAAAGCGGGGGAAAAAATCCTGCTCAATTTTTGAAGCAGAGTTTGAATACTAAAACTGATAAAAACATCAAAAAACGTCAATATTTTAGCACTTTCCTTCCAGATTTTGTTCAGTTCTGGTTCATTTCTCTCATCCTTTACTTGAATGTCGTTTATGGACGATCATTCTTCAAAACGCACGATAAAACCTATGCGCATTTGTAATTGTATTGATCTACTATTCTTCAAATTCACTCTCGAATATTTATTTTCAGACACATATATGTATTTCTAAGCTTTCAAAATCTGTTAAATATATGAATGCTATGCCTTATGTATATTTATCCGTAGTCAAAGTTTTGAACTTCTAGTTAATAAAAATGACAATGATAACAAATTTGATATCAACAAAGATGATGATAATAAAACGGATTATTATCAATACAATTGAATGTTATACTTAGTTTCATGAACCGAACAAACGTGATGAACCGAACAAACGTGATTTGAAATAATTAATAGAAACAACAGCAAGACAATTATCAACAATCGATGAATTTGACAAACAACAACAATTTCAACAGTGATGGTTCAAATTTTAATGATAAAAAATAAGTATACTCCTATTAATCTAACTTTTTACTTTGTCTTTTAAATTATTTTTAGCTGAAAATATTGTCTTTTTGAATAAAAACATACCATTTAGCAATGTAGAAAATGTGGATTTTTAACGAAGAATACACCAAGCAGATAGACATAATACGATGATTCTATTGAGATTCGACAAGTCTATACACGCCATATTCTGCAAACTTCGAGACCTAACTCAAAGAAACATTCGTAAAACTTCCATTAGAGTACATTTTTTGATAGAAAAACGTTGCCAAATATCGAGATGATACCAACGTTTTCGATTCATGATTCAGATACAGTGTCGGTCGTTTTTCTCCATAAAAAATGAAATAAACGTAAGATACATAAGAAATATTCAACATATCTACGGAAAGTAGAGGACGTATTATAAGTTATCTACCCTAAGTTGAAATGTATTTTTTGACAGATTATCTATCAAACGAATGACTATGTTTTCCAGTATACATCCTCATACGTTACCTTTTTCTGCTTTATTAGTATCTCCCTTCATTAATAATAAATATTTTGGACTTTCTGGAACAAAACATAACATAATAACTTGAGCTATACTAAACACAATGGTTAAACCTTGAAAAATAAAGAAATAAACAAAAATAAAGTTAAAAAATTGAGAATACTATTTATAATGTATATCTATTTACCAAGTGCATAATGCCATGTGTTATAACCGCCTAATATATGTTCTAAGGTAATTATTTGTGATAAAAATAAAATGACAACAACGCCTAATTGAAATGTTGTACCAAACGTGCCACGTAATCGTCTTGGAGTTATTTCATTGATGTATGTTGGGGCAACACTGGATCCATAACCTAAACAACAAAACATAAATTGATCTAAAACAAACATTATCACAATTTTTCAGTATTTTTGTTAAAGAACGTTCTAAATTAAAACATTTATCTTCTTTATTTTATAGTCTTAATTTATAGACAAGATACACTGTGATATACACATCTACTTACCACAACTCACTCCAATTAAGAGTCTTCCAATAATTAAAACTTCATAGTATCCGATTATTTTCGATATGAACATGAAAATAGCTGCTATAATAGAAACTATATTGTTTAAAAACATTCCACCTTTTCTTTAAAAAAATAACAGAAAACAATCAAAATATGGTACATAGTAATGTTTTATTTTCATATATACCTTCCAAATCTATCAGTGATAAATGCGCTACAAATTCCTCCAATCATTCCACCAAGTGCAAATACTGATACAGAGAATGAACTGAAGAAAAAAAATTAATGTATTATAGTGCAAAATATTATAATTAATAGAGTAAAGTAATATTATTGTATTCATTTATTCTATTTACTACAATAACAATAATAGAAAGGAAACTGAAATTCGTTGAACGGTTCTTATATAATGTATAAGAAAAAGAAATTTTTTAGTCTGCTAAACTTTACAGAACAAAACTAAATTATTTTTACTTACAATATCCATGTTACTGTATTTGGAGACAATGTTTGATTATTGTGATGTTTCACATAAGATTCAGAAATAAATTGCGTTATTACCTAATCAATAAAAGATGATTAAACAGTGTCTAAGAAAGAGTTATTTCTACTTACTCCTTGTGGATTATTCATTACACCACTGGCATATCCAAAATGAAATGCTGTACCCGTTACAGCTGTCAATACGGCGAATAGATGATTGATTGTTAAACGCTAAAAACAAGATATACCATTCATCATTGATTTAACATTATGAAGAATAATGATAATATGTATGCATATACATACCTCATTCGTGTTATTCCGTCTATTGTAGCCGATATCAACATCAATTTCAGATAAGTTCTCAACTCTGTCAAATGGCGAATCAGCATTGATAAGCTGTTCTGTTGAAGGTGATTGAATCATAATGTTCTCTAGCAGAATAATAAAACAATAAAATGATTTCATAAAAATAGAGAAAATACTTTATAGATTTTATAACAAGATCGCTTCTATCTTATAGACTGAAGCTGCAGAAAAAAAGCGAGTATGCTGACAGTTGAATGTATGACCTTGAGATTGATGTTTTCGGAAGAAGTGAAAAGTTTGATGATTAACGAAAATTTTATCTGTGATTCGTTCTCTTAGTGCACTGTATTTGAGTACCATGGTTTTTATGATTTTCGACTCCTATCTGTCTAATTATCACTGTTATTATATTCTTTTCGTTTTGAATAAATGTAGATTAAATCAATTAACATTTTTTTCAAAGTTACTGTATATTTAAGACTGAACGTGAGCTTGTCTGCACTGCCTATTTTGTTTCTTTATCAAATTACTTGAAGTACCCAAATCACTCACTCAACTACATAAAAGTTAGTTTTTCAGTTTAAATTTAAAAAATTCTTGAGTCCAAATTTTTTTGAGAAACTCTATTAAAAGAAAGAGATGGATTCCTATCTCTTAGTCGAAAACGCTAATCGAGATAGTTACCCAAAAAACGGTAAATTCTTTCAAAATATGTTTAACCTGGATTGATAAAGATGTTCTTTGATCCTTAAAAGTCATTCAAAGAAACCTATGGACCAATGCATAGATCTTCTTTTTACTTCTAAATCAAACAATTTTTTATTTATGAAAAAATATGTAAAGAAATTATATTTTCTTCCATTTATATATGCTTGACTCCGTTCAGCAGCTGATAACAATAGAATGATTTTAACACGGTCGTTCTCTACTCACTCACTTGCTATTATCATCACAGATATCAACACAAGAAAAAAAAGTCAAGGAAGAGTAGAAAAAGTTTGTATGAATATAAGAATATTTTTAAGTTTATGTTCCACTAAACGTTTGGAACATTAAGATAAAATTCTTTTTTACTAAATAATATATTAGAAACAATCAAAATTTATATAATAAGCTCAAACATGGTAATCGCCAGCGCATCGTTTCATCAGTATGCTTAATTAGCTCTTAATTTAAAATGAATACTTAAGTTTTGACTTAAGGGTATCTCCCTCTTTTTCTCACCTTGTTGTCAAATACGGAGCACACGTCCGATCGAGTTCAAATTTATACCAGAGTTAGAAGAGCGAAAAAGAAAACCGAAGTATTTTTGCTCAGAATTTTGTGACGTGATCTTCTATGGTTTTTCTGGAAAACTCCAGTTTTCATCCAGTCACACTATGACCCCTCGAAAAAATGGTCCGATCGAGTCGAAATTTTTACCACAGATACTCCAACTCAAAATAGAAATTTTTTTTTGAAAAATATGCTTTCCATCTCGAGATATACGAAAAATGTTGAAAACCATACAAAAAAAATCCGTTTTTTTCTTTGGTCTACTCTTCGGTATACCGCCGTCTAAAAGGTATATCACCGGCTAACCGCACAGTATTCTTAAAATACTGCCGGTAAAAAACGACTATCTTTGATAGTTTTCCATATTTTCAGTATATTTGTGGACTGATTGAGAGCCAGAGATGACATTTGTCCTAAGACTGCTTCATTATGCGACTCGAGTCAAAATTCATGTACTTCGACCCCATGTTGTCAAAACCGGACGAAAACCGGCGGTTCTTAAAATAACCGTGGTTAACGGCCGATTTCGACAACATGGGACGAGTCATAGAAAAGAAACGTGGAACTTCTTTAATTTTCTGTCGTCTTATATACTCCTCTAACCAGGAAAACAAAATGGTGAAGAACTCTAAAGTAGTATTCTATGTGGTATTCACCATAATACCTCAGTGTAGAGAATCCGTCCGGTTACCGTTGATACACCGAGCGATTTCAGAAAATACCGCAGTAACCGCTAATTTTCTCGGAAACTACAGTTTACCGACGGTATTCAATAAAAGTTCAACGTGGGAAACTGTCCTTTATAAGAACACATCTTCTAACTACACATGTCCTAACACTAGGAAAGAAACTATTATACGTGTCATGCATAAGAAAGAAAGCAAGTTATTCGTCAAAAACTATCGTCCTATTTCACTATTGTCTAATGTTAGTAAAGTGCTCGAGAAACTGATTTACAAGCATTTATACTCATTACTATGCACAAAAAACTTTTTAACCTAACTCAGTTTGGATTTCGTCCAAGTACTTTAACCGTAGATGCTGTTCTTCTTCTCACTCAAAAGGTTTACCAGCATCTAGATAAAAAGTGTAAATTAATTGGCATATCATTTGATTTTGAAAAGGCATTCGACACTGTACCACATCATATTCTACTACAAAAACTGGCTAAAGCAGGAATAGCCGGAAGTCTTTTGAAATGGTTCGCTTCTTATCTTTCAAATCGTACACAAAAAGTCTCTGTGGGCTCTGTTTTTTCTTCTTCTGTTCGAGTGTCGTCTGGAGTTCCCCAGGGCAGTATTCTTGGCTCGATTTTATTTCTTATCTTTATAAATGATCTTGCACCATCTCTTAAATCTTCTCTTCTCTCTTGTCTTTTTGCTGATGATGTTTTCTTTGTTACAAAGATATTCGAGACTCAAAAATGTATCAATGAGCTTGTCCTCTGGTGTGATATGAATGAGGTCAAATTAAACATAAACAAATGTCTCTGGATTTTATTTTCAAACTCTAGTAAAATGCTTCCTTCACTCACTCTTTCAATCAACAACGTTGATATAGAAAGAGTTTTGTCTCTTAAGCTTCTTGGCATGATTATTTCATATAATTTAACGTGGAAGGATCACACTGAATATGTGTCAATGAAATCTCGTCAAATGTTAGGCTCTATCTCAAGAGTCTTTCGTGACTCGCCCTCATTTCTTCGTTGTCATCTGTATAAAACTTGTGTAAGCACCGTGCTCGAATACGGTTGTGTTATCTACGATTCCACTTTTACTTCTCATCTCGAAATTTTGAATAAAATTCAGTGCCTTGCTAGTAGGATCATTTCACAAGATTTTAGTAGTTCTTCTTCTCTACTCAAACAATTTAAAATTCAACCACTGTCAAACAGACGTCTATATTATCGCCTTCTCTATTTCTATAAAATTTTCAGTCATAAAAGTCCTCTCTCCTCTTTTGATCTGATTTTACAGTCAACAACGCGCCAAAGTTCTCGATTAGGCCATGATAGTCGCGTGTTTATTCCTCGTTTAATGTCAAAATCTGCATCTAGCTCTTTTCTTCCGCGAACATCAAAAGATTGGAATGAACTACCTTCTGTTTTAGCCTGTCAAACTTCTCTAGTCACATTTAAAAATATGCTGAGAGGTTACACAGGCTTTTAATAATGTTTATTTTTAAATTTTTAGTTTTCGGTTATCACAGGGTATCCACGAATGCCACAAGGCTTTTGTTCTTTTTTTGTGATATCCTGCACTTTAGCAAAAATAAATCTTATCTTATCTATCTTAACACTTCAACTAACAAGTTTACGTAGATGAGTTTGAAATTTGCTTCTATTCCGAAGAAATCTGCATATCTTTGAAAGCTAGAAGTTGACTTTGTTATTGTTCGGATTTGAAATGCATCCCAAAAAGCGGCATAAACACTTAGAGTTATTATTCGTCACCAACTTCAAAAGTACTGACTGTATCTTCACAACCTCTGTTAATATGCTCTGAAGTATCACAGTTCTAGTATAGCTGTCTGTTTTTTCAGAAAGCTAGTAAGTACGTATGAAGAGACAAAATTTTCCAATTGTTCCGCAAAACTTTGGGCCCAGTTATGATTTTGAGATGAAGTTGTATGTTCTAAATGAAGCGCTTAACTTGTTTAGCATTATATACCTTTGCACAACAGAGCTGGACGATCCTATTCCGGACAAAATACTTATTGAAAACTTTTTTAGCGAAACAAGCGGGACAAAGCCACACAAACAATTTCGTAGAAACATTGTTCTGTAGCGCATTACAGTAGATAGCAAAACTTTATGTAGTCTTGTTTCATTCTATTTAAATCAGTCAGATAATAAATAAATTTTGACCAATATCAAAATCATATCGTTTAATAACCAAGCCGATTCAAGTATTTCTATTTCCTCTTGTCTTTCTTCTCAAAAATCAAATACTTGCCGAGTAATTCAATAAAATTTAAAAATCAGATGTATCAATATAAAGTAGTTGATAACCAGAGAAATTTGTAAACATTATTATTTCTAATAGGTAGAATTTTCGTCAGAAAAAGCATACCAAAAGCAGCGATTTGGATCATTTTATTTTATTTTATTTTATTATGCACATGTCGGAATAAAATGCGCGATAAATTCATTGATCGTATCTAACAGGTTTCAGAGAAAGCTATTTCTCCAATTTTTCCATCATGAAAACTTAAACTCTTATTTAGTCTTAATTCTTGTAAAATTTGTATTAGAAAAAGTTTCACATAATAAACTTTGCGTACTTATATAAAATAGATTTTGCATCTAAATAAACTCATTAATCTTTTACTAACAATTGAGTCACAATAATTTACTTCTAAACTTTAAGCAAAATGGTGGCTAATCTCATTCTTAGCTACAAACAGTAAACACATATCATTGAATCGAAAAATTTGAACAATTTGTTCGTTTGCTCAATGTTAGAAAACGAATACTTTTTTGATACGTATTGTGATTCATGAGACAAGTGCACATGAAAAATACGAGAATTCACGTGTAAGAAGTAAGAAAAATATGCGATAAATAAAAATTTGTTCAATAATCAAAAACTTGAATAAAAAAAAACTTGCTATAGTGTGTCAAAATATGTTTTTAAATTGTTTGTATTGATAAATAAAGTGACAAGATAGTTTGTTTTCATATCTATAAATATCTGATGTTCGTATAAGTTGACTATATCAGTAAAGTTTATAAATTGAACAACAACAAAAACAATATGTTTTCTCTATAAAAAGAAAACGTTCAAAACATACGAATAATTTTCGCATAGCTTAATTATTAAAAAAATTACAAATCCTGTGTAGAAAAACAACGAAAGGGTGCACGCAGTAAATATATAAATAAGAAACAACAATGCCTAATTATTCTTGAATAAAAACTTACAATAAACCTAAAAAACGATATATACAACAAAATATCCTATGATCTGCTCAATCATGAAATGTGAGAAGAAAAAAATCAAATTGTTTTGTTCAAACAAATTGTTTCACATTAAAATCTAAGATAGAACGGTAGTGCATGAAAAAGTGTAAAATGAACGTATACATACGTTATCAATAAAACGGCAAAAATATTGAAAAAAACATAGAAATATTAGTTGTCAAAAATAAAATTAGATAGGGAAAAAAAATCCAGTTTTTTTCACAAATAATAACAAAAATCAAAACTAATTTTCATAAAAAAATGAAAAAAATTCTGTGAGTAGATCTATTCTCTTACAAATTAAAATGTTCTATATTCGTTGATAACATCAAAATTAGTCTGGGACAAAAACAACATTAAATATCACATGACTAGAGTACTGTCCGGTAATTACAGAGATTTATTTATTGTTGATGTTTCGCTTTATAAACTGTTCCTTTGGCAACTAATATTTGAACTTGTTCCGGTATTTTACGACGTGTTTCAGGTAAAAGTAAATATGACAATAAAAAGACACCCATACAGATTCCACCATAAATAAGAAATAATATTGAATCAATAGCATTCTAATATTAATAGAGAAAATATTTCATGATGTTATATTAGCAAAGAAATAGAATTATTTGTATATTTTTGCTTACAAACAACGGTATAAATGATTGAACAACAACAAAAGATGTTAGCCAATTAGCGATAATAGCAAAACTAGAAGCATAAGCACGTTCAGATTGAAAAAACATTTCACTGGTTATGACCCATGGTATAGCACCTAGATGACAATAAAAACAGCAACGTAGTTTATAGAATTATACAAATATAGAATTATACCTGGTCCCAATGCAAAAAATCCCGCATGTCCCATAATAGAAAATATATTCAAAAATATCATATGATACAAACGTATCTGAATAAAAAAGGATAACAACAACGAAATCATAAACATTACAATCTCAGAATAATTTGTAAACACGTACACTTTTTGATTTTAATATTGTAACGCCAATACCCATGGCCGCTACTCCCATACCAACAAGACCATCTGAAAAGAAAGAAAGATACACTCAAATAATTGGAAACTTATATTTAGCAGCAAACGATCAATACATACATAAAAATAGCGAACGTCGTCCAACTTTATCCAAAATAAAAACAAGTGTTACTGCTACAGCCAAATAAGTAATACCAAAACTTAGAGAAGCATATGGCGCAAATTCATAAGGTAAATTAGTTCGAGCTAATATAACATCTCCAAAATAGAAGATCTATAAACAGAAATAATAATATTATTTGTTTTATGCAAGATAATATTTTTCATTTCAAAACGTTCTACGATTAAACATGTTTCACACTCTTCAAGAGCATATCTTTGAATTGATAAAAAAGATCTTTAATATATCAACATTTTAGATAACTTCAATTCCAAACTATTTATTCAATGGAATGAAACATATATTTCTCTGTGTTTTTCCTTAGAAATAGAAAACTAACAAGTTTAGAATAGATAATAATTTCACAAAGTCATTAAGCAAATGATTGTTCTACTTACTACGTTACTTCCAATCAATTGTTGAGCAACATGCGTCATTGACGAGATCAGTAAACATTTACGTAGTAACGGTTTTTGTAATAAATCTTGCAATGTAATCTAAAATGAAACAAACCTGTAAAATATTTCATTAGATAAAATAATATAGGCATGTACTTTAGTTGAATTTGTTTTTAAATTATTTAAATCTGCATGCATTTCTCGTATTTCAGCTTGAACAATTGCATTGTCTTTTTCATAACGAAACCATTTTAAAGCTGCAGAATAAAAGTAAATAGATGATATATCTCTTGACAATAGAAACTGCTGTCTAACTCGAAATTAGAAAAATGACTGATTTTTGTGTCTTAATATTAGAATCAGACGTTTTATAGAACATTTTTAAAAAAATTTTCACCTCTTTCTGCTGCTTGTTCTCGTTCTTTTTGTAATAAAAATTTTGGTGTATCATAAGCAAATACTAATAGTATAATTTGTAATAGACTAAATCCAATTGGTACAACTTGAAAATAAACAAACAATTTTAAATTAAAAAAATATTAAGAATATTTTTTATTCTTACTAAATAAATAATTCCATAATCGATCATTACCAAGTATAATATCGAGTCCTAATACTTGTGCTAACATTATAGCCATCGCCATAAATAACTGAAAACAAGCACCGAAACTACCACGAACTTGAAGTGGTGCAATTTCTGTTATGTATAAACTACCAGCAACAGCACCAAAACCTAAATAAAAGTAAAATAAATTAAGATAAGAAGATATACACGGCTTAGATAATTTATTTATCAATGGTAAAGATTATCCTGTGATAGTATAATCAATACTGTTTATTTTCTACCAACAATAAAACATACTTTTGAAACAAGAGAATACTGTTTTTGATGAAAAAAAAACGTATATTTACAAGTGGAACGTACCATTCGGAAATAAATATCAGTATACAGTCCGAAAATTCGTAAGCGAAGAAAACTTGGGTAGATTTTGATAATTAATTTTTCAACGATAATTAAAACGGAAACGGTTTTTCAATCGAATATCATTGGGAATTTGGAAATTGCTCTGCTACAACAATCATAGAGACTATATCAATTTGAATTTCTACAGAGAAACCACAAACTCTTACGAGGGAACCTCCCGAGATGATAAATCGCTTTTTGATCGACATCTAGTGGGTTATAGGTTATCGACCATGCTGATTCCGAATATGACCATAGCTCTTCGAAGATCCAGTCTTCTGGAAAACCATTTTTTCAGAAACCCCAAAAAATAACCCAAGCCTTTCTTAACAATTCAGGATTGTAGCGCGCAAAGAAATAACAAAGATATAAGAAAGATCTTATTTCTGTAGCTTTGAGCTGACAATGAACAATTTAGGGCTCTTGTTATAAATTCTATAACTTTGCAAAGAAAGGTCGTGTAGAGCTGGGGATGTTTCATTTTAATCAGAAATTTGCGCGCTACAATTGTTAAGAAAGGCTTGGGTTATTTTTTGGGGTTTCTGAAAAACTGGTTTTCCAGAAGACTGAATCTTCGAAGTGCTATGGTCATATTCGGAATCAGCATGGTCGATAACCTATGACCCACTAGATGTCGATCAAAAAGCGATTTATCATCTCGGGAGGTTCCTTCGTTAGTGAAAATTTAAAGAAAACTATTATTGAATATTAGTAAGCTAAAAAAACAAGTTAGAACGTTTTCATATGATAAAATCCCTTTTTTAAAGAAACATAGATCGACCAAAAGTCGAGTTTAGTATTCGTCTCGACTGCCAGATTTTATTTGTATCTTCGTGTAGAACTAAAATGTCAGTCAAACAATCAACAAGTTTTCGTACAGTTATAAGAGTTTGCATATACGAAGTGTGTATAAGTTGAAAATTTCAGGTTATTTTAAATAGTGCAAATTTTTATAACTTTGCGGAAACTTGTTGGTTATTTTGTAACTGATATACTCTTTAAATTGACACTCTTGTCAATGTTTACCTTGAAAACCCATGATCATTCTAATTCTACATGAAGATACAAGAAAAATTTGGCAGTCGAGATCAATAGTATCAAACAAAATAGTGCTCTTTTTCTTACCACCCGTAAATCCAATTAAAACTCTTCCAATGATCAACATTTCATATGAATATAGAATTTTACTTAGTACCATCAGAATGGAACCAGTAATAGCTGGAATGTTATTTAACAATAAACCTATCCTCCTAAATTGATACAAAAACATTATTAAGCAAACAAGTACATACAAAAATCCTTTATCATCGAACCGTCCTAAGCGATCACATATGGGTCCAGCTAATAGTCCACCTAGCACACCTCCAAGTGCAATCACTGAAATGGTTGTTGAATATAATAAATCAGCACGATGATCTGTCAATGTCGAATTATAACGGCGATAATAAATTAATTTCGTAAAATTTTTAATTACCTAAAGAAAATTTATAATAGAAAATTTAAAAGAAATCGGAAAACAATTGCTATCCATTTAAAATAGAACCTTTAGTAGAAAGTAGCTACTATAGATTTCAAAATAAAATGCGTATGGACGTTTTTTTGAATAAAATCTGAACGAAAAGAGATAAAGACATTTGGTTTTCGCCAATCGATACCCAAGACCGAGGACATGTGGTTTTATGGAAAAAAAAATTTTAAAATTTTTCATGATCAATTTTTAAAGAAATAAAACCAAGTTGGTATTCTGGAAGTTACGTTTTCTTTCATAACCATACGTTTTCTTTCATAAGTAGATAGCCCAAAGTGGCCTCTTCGAAATGAGAGGCCTTGATTTTTAGCGATTCAGGCGAGGTATTGAATTTTCTTGGAGTCACTGGACTGGTACTCCGTCACTTACAGTAGTCTTGAGATCACAAGGAACATACGTAATCGACTACGCTGAATCTGGTGGTAATGTTTGTTTTTGTGAAAAAGTTAAAAAATATGGCGAAAACTGGATTTTACGAAAACCAGGGTTTCCAGAATGTTTTCGCCTAATACCGGAGCATTCACAACTCACTCAAAAAGCATCAGAACGAGTTCAAAACTTCGAGATTTTATAAAGTTTGTCCACTAAAAGTGATTATGTAATCGAAAAAATTAAGAAACTATGTTTTGGTTTGACGGTTTTCTAGAAACCATTTGGGAAAACTATATGACTTTTTAAGTTGTTTTTTGTAGATTTCGTATAAGTGAGATATAGAATAACCTGAATACTCAACACCCTGACGTTTTCAAGTTCTTCTGATGATTTTTGAACCCGTTGTGAATGTTCCGGTATTAGGCGAAAACAGTCTAGAAACCTTGGTTTTCGTAAAATCCAGTTGTCGCCATATTTAAAACAAACATTATCAGATTCAGTAGTCGATTGCGCATGTTCCTTGTGATCTTAAGACTATTCCAAGTGACCGAGCACTAGTCATGCGACTCCAAGAAAATTCAATACCTCGCTTGAACCGCTAAAAATCAAGGTCTTCCTTGACTCTCATTTTGAACAGACCATTTTGAGCTATCTACTCATGAAAGAAAACGAAAATATTTGTATTATAACTTCCTAAAGTAGATTTTCTAGAGAATCTTTCCAAAATCAGGAAAAATTTAAAATACAAGAGATGGATAACTCATAGTATCCTTGTTAAAATGCGAATCTAGCACGCTCCTGCTTGTTCATCATTCAGGCGTCGCACTACGTCATCCCTTTTTGCGCGTAGCAACATGTAAGATGAAACATAGGTTATTGACGATGTGAAAAAAGCTGTGTTGTGATTGAAAACCATTTCTTATGCAATCAATCATAGCCGATTCTCTCTTAAACTACTTCATGCAACCACTCAAATTGGAGTTGAGTTAGCTGCAAGTAGTTGGATAAGGCAAATTCATTTCACTGTAACTGAGCACGTCGACTAATGATCACTATTCAGCAAGGAATTTGCACTTTTTTTTCTTTCTTACCTCCGATGGCGCGTTCATAACTCCGAGTGCATAGCCAAACTGCGCTCCAGTGCCGATCATTGCTCCACAAACAACCAGAAACAATGTTCTTGTAAATCCCTGAAAACAGAAAGAACAAAACTACATATTCATACGAAAAAGTATCTTCTCTGTGCATACCAAATGTCGGGTTTTTAAATCCGCTGGAGAAACCATGTTTTCTGTACTAGCAATTTTTTCTTCCTTTTCAGCAATTGTATCATTATCTGTTTCACCTGGTGATGTTGCTATATTGTGATCTTCTCTACTACTATCTCCACTTTCTTCTGTTGGTGTTCTTTTACGAGGATTTGATTTATTCATTAAATCTGGCTGATGTTCGTCTTTATTTTGAAACAATTTCTCTTGTTTCATCAACAACATTTTCTTCACGATACATCATATGTGCTTCGTTTGTTCGTTCTTTCTTTCTTTTTATTTTCAATATTTAATTAGTTTATCAATTAAAACTAAAAGTCTAATCTTGATGAATAATTCAAACATATGATGAGATCAATCAATTATTGTTAAAGACAAAAGAATAACAACGTTTATTTTTCGTAGCTCGATGCATGTACACTACTTATCCTAAAATACAATTTTAGATGTTGAATTAAAAGCAACTCGCCAAGCGTATGATCTCATTGTGCCCGGTTTGGTTAATGAATATCCACGTGTACGTAGCAAATACTTATTTTGGTCAGACAGTGCAAAAGAATTGGGTTTCTTCTTTCTAAACTCTTAGTGGATATTATTCTTATCTCACTTCATTAGTTGTCATTTTTACCTCGTACGTTTGCCGGAGTAAACTGTTGATGCTTGGAAACGATTGCATTTGATTACATTAAAATCCTTATGGTGTCATTTACCAGTTGAGCTGTAGTAAATAGTTAGCTATAATTATTAAAACTCAGCTGAACCACATTCAATGTTCGATGAATTAAACAAGAAAACGATGATGAAATATTCTTATTTTCCACTTCACTCATTTCATTGTAAATCCCAATAAGACCTCTGAGTAACGGATCTCGTCCAATTTACTTCAAAATCTGGTATTCCATGCAGCGTTTGGTCGGACTCATGACGAGTCTAATCAACGTATTAGTTTTTTGGAATCATTGAACCCATGTTGGATGATGAACTTGTCCGATGATTACTCATTTTCAATAAGTAAAAACATTATTTTCGTATTTCTAAAATGAAGTAATCTTAGAACAATCGCTTTGCAGCATTGAACAAAAGAAAGTGAGGTGCACTGTACTCCACAGAAAAAGGAATTTTAAATTTGCTTTTTTCATCTACTTTTTGAGCATACGTTTGGTATGTTTGGTTCAAGTGCTTCGTGAGCATTGAGAGATTATATAAAAAATGCTTGTCACTTGTTTTAATATACTATTACCAAATAATTCTAAACAACGTAAGAGTTAAACAGTCTTCTTCATCTGATCTTGGATTTTTATTAACTGTTTTGCTTTTCACTTTGCAAATGTGTTTCTTTATAATGTTTTATGTTAATAGGAATACTGTTCAGTATTACTGTTATCAGTAACAGTAATACTCATAAAATTAGTATTACTGGTAACAGTAATAGTAATGTGCCACCCCTAATGTAGAAAGAGGATGAACAATATGAAATGCTACTCGAGTGTCCGCGAGACCTTCTGAAAGAAGTAGTCATTCTGTTCCCTATTGGAAAAAAGCCTTTGAGCAACAATATCCAGATATAAGTGAAGTGGTCTACTTCTTGGCACTTCCACAGATGGATCACCTAGCCACCGGTACCACCCACACTCACACTACGCACCGCACTATCATGAAAGAGGTGATCGATGGCTAGAAGAGATCAAACGTTTTTATTTTTAACACTACTTTAAGCATCACTTTGTTTTCTTAATCATAATTCTCCATTAATGTTTCTAATGAGAATTTTCCACAAAGTCGTTTTCCACGGCATTTTCCACGTTTTTCCTGCTAAAAATAGGGTGAAAATCACTTGGATCACACTGATCCTTAGAAACGCTGTTCACCGTGAACGTGCTTGGAAAAACGTTTCATTCAACGTTGAATCACAAAACAAAAAAAAGCATTTTTGCAATAGATAACATTCTCTGGCTTTTTTGAGAGAAACAGGAGAAATCTTCAAGTGAGAGGGACTGTTCGTATCGTTCGGTGACATATGGTAACTCTGGTTTACCGCACATACTGGTTACTATCGACATTTAGGTTATGTGAGCATCGTTTTTGTACGGAGGTTGGGAGCATTCATGCTTACACGATAGTGGTCTACTGTGAACTTCTTATTGGACAAATATTGTCAGTTCGAAGAACCATTGAGCTGTGCTGAGTTTTTATAACGTCAAATAAAGTACTGAC